AGAGGTCCCTTAAGGGATAACTTGAGAAACAGTGGGTGGGACAGAAGTGAATATGACTCCAGGATCTGAGCAGCTTCACTTTAACCTTTTTTCTTTTTAGGGGTGGGGAGGGGTAGAGGGAGAGAGAGAATCTTAGGCAGACTCCACGCTTGATCTCACATGACCTGAGCCGAAATCGGGAGTTGGATGCTTAACCGACTGAGCCACCTAGGCGCCCCTAACTTGCTTTATATTAACGTCTGCATAAGATTTCATTTTAAAAAGTGAAAAAAGAGTTCCTTGCTTTAAAAAGTTTGGAAACCATCGGTGTCTCTCTCCTGTTACTAAGAAGAGATCAGCTAATACCCTCCCTTAAGCCACCAAGAAAGTGCCGGGCACCTTTTAACTTCATCACAGAGGTGAGAGGTGGCCAGTGTTCCATATCAACATGAAGAGGCTCCGTTCTTAATCATTTATCAACGAGTGAGTCACAGTTAAAATCCCCCTACCCTGAATGCAAAAGAACAAAGGGAAATTTTACTCACCACAACCAAGAGCATCCCCGGGGCTCGTGGGGGCATTCCCATGAGAGCTGTGTGCCCTGAGTTCCTATTTATGTCAAATCAAGCTTTTGCTTAATGAACATCTATCAAGAGATGAGTGGCCAGAATGGGAGCGTTAAATATGTTATGGCCAATGTTAAGCAATGTGTTAAATATACTGTATTTTGGCCTCGAGCTCCATTGTCCAATATGGGAGCTGTTAGCTATTTAAGTGTAAATCTATTAAAATTAAATGAAAGTTAAACTTTAGATCTTCAGCCACACCACCACATTTCATATGCTCCATACCTACATATGGTTGGCGGCTTCCAGGCTGAACAGTGAAGATGAAAATGTTCTTAACACTTGGGTCATTGCAGAAAGTTCCAGTAGAGAGGGCTAACATCACCCAATCTAATTCTGAATTACCATTTGGCCAACCTGGGCCCCTCATCAATCCCTGAACTGGTAGCTCCCCAAAAGTTTCCCTTTCCATCCATCCTGGCCCTAGGGTTCCTGGAGCTGAGTCTGGAAGTGGGTGAATGAATGTGTGAATGAGCATAAAGGATTTTGTAAGCATATTCTGAAGTGTGCCTTTAGTCTCACTTCTGTACCTTGTTTGTTCTATGTCTGCCCTGCCTGGTCTCATTAGCAGAGGTAACAGGGATCATTTTTCCTAATAGTTTTCTTTTTTTCCTAATAATTTTCTAACTATATAAGTACTCTATTAGTGATCCTTAACTTTTACATATCAAAATTCAGACCAGGATCTGAGATGTTATATTGTCACGCAGGAAGTGACTAATTGTATTAATAGAAACACACATTAGAAACAGACTTTTAAGAGCTAAAGGCATCTTAGGACGCATCTTTTTTGACAGCTTCACTTTTCACAAAGGAGAATATAAGACCCAAAGAAGTGGAGTGACTTGCCTAAGAACACACAGTACCTCAGAGCACACAGAGGAACCTATGTCACCTGGGTTTCACCCTGGGGTTTTCCTCCCTATTCACCATTGAGGATCTTCTTATTGCTGGTATCTTCAGTACACTGCCATTCTTTGCTCCTCCTACCTGGCAAGACACCCCTAGGGTCTCACTGTAGGCCACGCATTCCATGACTACTTTCTGAGTCGCTCTGCTCTGAGTGTTTATGCCTCTATCTGTTCAAACATATTCTAAAAAATATCCTCCCCAAGAGGCCGTTTCCCTAAAAATGTCCCCTGGGCTTCACACTGCAAAAGTCACCCTAGCAGTAAAGAACAGCAGAAACCTTTCCTATCTAGATTGGGTAACGTCCAGGTAGGGAGAGTTTCAGTACCACAACCAAATGTCAGAGCACACTTCACAAAGGTTAACTTTCCATGCCTGTGTCTCACAAAGGCAGGCATTTTGTGATTTTATATCCCCATAGTTAGTGTTTAACATAGTATCCTTACAGTAACAGCTCAGCTTGACCTCTCAAGTGGGAATCAGGTTTAAAAGACATGGTCTGAAAGACTGGACATGGTTGTGATAATTAGACCTCCAGATTCTCTTTCTGTTTGTATTCTAGAACAGAAGTCAGCAGACTATGACCTGTGGGGCCGAATCTGGTCCACTATCTGTTTTTGTAAATAAAGTTTTATTGGAACACGGCCATACTCATTTGTTTATATACTGTCTATGGCTGCTTTCATGCTACAATTAGCAGAGCTGAGAAGTTGCAACAGAAACCATTTGGCCGCCAAGGTTAAAAAATATTTGCTCTCTGGCCCTTTACAGAAAAAGTTTGCTGACCCCTCCTCCAGAGTCACAGTAAAATCAAACACTTTCCAAATCCAAATTTACTTCCAAATGATGCTCATGAGGTAGGGAAAGGTCCAAATCTGGAAAGGTCTTACCAAACCAAAACCAAGCTGTTTCCTTTTAAAATCAATAGGAAATTGGGGCGTGGGGGGTGGGATGGGAATATGTTCAGATGCTTTTCTGTTTGGCATTTTCTCCTTCTGATTTCCTCTCTGTTTAGCCGGATGCATCCATATTATCTAAAGGATGATTGGGATTATCACAACGGGAATGCAAAGAGAAAGAAAGAATTGGTATTTTGCTTCTGACATCCAAAATGAGGTTTTCCAGCAAGATGATATTTTGGTTGTGTTTTGTCAAGAATGAGAATTTTGTCAGGTTTTGCTGAGAATGGGGATTTTCTAAATTTCTTTATTTCCTCTTAGAATTGTTACCATAACGTTCCATATAAGGCATGTCCCAACCAAACAGGAAGGGAAAGAGGACAAAGGCCGCCTTTTCTGATTCTGGATTATGGGAATTATGGGAAGAACTAAAACAGAGAAAGAGAAAGCAGGTATTCAGACATGTGTCTCAGTCTCTCTTCTCTGAGCCAAAATCATGGATAAGAGCATGGGCTCTGAATACTAACTGCTTGGGTTTGAATCTCGGTTCAACCTCAGGCAACTTAACCTCGTTGTGCTACCGTTTCCTCATCTGTAAAACAGGGATAATAATATTACCTATCTCGCAGAATTGTTATGGGAACTAAGGAAGTGATGTGTGTTAAAGTGCTTAGAATAGCACTTACCACATGCTGTAGTTTTTGGGGATGGGAGTGATGGTTATTACCGGTAGATCTTTGAAGGAATGCTGACAAGAGAGTTGGCTCCGTCTGTCACTCTTATTTTGGAGTCTAGAAAGAGATCACCTTAAAGGCTATGCTTGCACTAGCTGGAGCAGCCGCATCAAAGCAAATTCTTTACCAGAAATGGGGTTGAGCTTGCCTCTCTCCAGTGTCAGTCAGCAGCTCTCAGTTCCCATGTACCTAAGGGAGAAGAAGAGCTGTAGCCCAGTGTCTGTCTGGTAGGAGAGTTTAGAGGGGATCGGCTTAGAGGGGTGCGCCACTGAGCTGGTACCACAGGGACGGGAACACATACGAGTCTTAGCAGATCTCGGGATGGTCCGCATCACCATGGGAGCTGAGATAGGGCCAAGTCAACAAGGGAGCCCACAGGGTCCTGACGAGCAGAGAGAGAACGGACCATGAGTTATCCTGGCCACAGACATCAGCCGCCAACAGGAGTGGGAGGCCCAGGAACAGGCCCAGGAACAGTGTCTCCCCAGCAGTCACCAACTCAGGGGGCAGCCCAGCCCCACCCAGCAGCTCCATCACAGAAATTAGCAGAGGCTCCAGGGTACATCGAAAAGCCATCACCCCTCCACCTCCAAGTCTATATAAACCATACCCCTGTTCCACACACCCTAGATGCCTTCTTTGGGGGAGAGGAGTGGAAATTGGAAAGGCTAAGCATTCTCTCTAAACTGGACTGTTTACCGTTTAAATTAAATCCAACTGTGTTTATCAGACTAGACTGAAATGTGATCCTCATCACATTTGGTTGGTCCGTTGACCAACCCTCCCACTCACCACATGTCTAGCAGGGAGGGGACGTTACATCATTTAATAGAAACAAAGAATTGCACCCCTCCTAAAACACACACCTTGGGCAGCACATTTAAGTGTGGTGAGAGTAAATTTGTGACTCTGCTACTCTCCTTGCTCCCTTGAAACTCTGAATTGGATTATTCCCATTGAACACTGCCCCCACCCTGCCTCAGTCGTAGACGTACCCACGCCCACACATACACAAGCTCGTGTCTAAAACTAGCTTCAGGAACCAGCCAGAAGAGTTTTAGGCTCTAAGGTAAACAAGAGAAAGAAAACCTTTCCAAAAAAAGACTCACTCCTGGTAGCTTTATTTTAAAAGTAAGGAAAAATGCAAGGACTTGCATAAACAGAATTTGAAGGTATAACTTTTCCTGCTCTCTTTCTGTTCAATCAAGGGAGAAAATGAGGACAGCAAATAACCTGTCAATAAAAATGTATTGCTTACTCTGTAGAATAAGGCTTATGCTTCAGAGCCTATTAAGTCAACTCCAATTTTTTTTTTTTTTTTTTTAACTTTCAGGGATAAGGGGAACGAGAGGAAGAAGCCTCTAAGCCACAGTCTTGGGAATAGGCTGGAGTCCACCCAACCCTGGAGACTGGCAACCTTATTCAGCTCCACCAGTGTGAAGTCAGACCGCATCCTCAGGCTGTTTTTCAATTTCCTTGATAAATCCACAGGGTTTCTATGCCATTAAGTAAAACTACTAACTCAAAGCAGACTGAGTGACCTCGGCTGGCCCCTCTGGGGCTGGAGGGGCATTGGCGCCACTAAAGAAAACAATGCTGTCACTACCAACTCAAAAGGCCACCTATCAATGTACCCCATGCCACCCCCAGGAGTGCACATGCCTGCACGCGCGCACACACACGCACACGAGCACACAAGTGTATGCATGTGTATACTTCCCGCAGGGGCTGAGGCCGGGACAGGCATCCCACATCCGATGGATGAATAGCAGGTCTGTCCCGCCAGCTGTGTGCTCTCTCCCACCCAGAGAAAGCAGGCGAGACTCAGACAGCAAAGCCGGGAGTAGCCCACGCAGTCTGTTAGCAGCGCCGGTGCGTGTGAAGGCACTTGAGGGCAGCAGGATGGAATCAGAAAGAGAAATCATCGACCTCCAAGTAAGTTCTCTCTGGGAGAGAGCAAGGAGAGGGTGGAGATGGGGAGCAGATGTAACGTTGGAGGAAGGAAGGATTAGTATTTTGGTCACTTGATATTCTCCCCCTACCCCCCCTTTCTTTCTTTCTTACTCACCCCCTTCTCCAAATGTTCCCTAGGCTTTGTCTCTTTATTCTCTTTCCGTTTCTCTGTCTGGTTCTTTGCTTTGTTTTGAAATATGTGAGAAAGGGATTGTTTAAATCCCTCTTGGCCTCTGCTTCCTCTTGTCAGTCAGAGAGCTAATTAGACTCGCGTTACCAGAAGATGATTTTACATTCGGCACAGATCTTTCCTCCAAACCCCAGCACAGTAGAGACTTATTTGAGAGCTGCCGGGCGGTTCTCTGGAGACAAGGAAAGATACGAGTTTTAGAGTTAAGAAGAGAGGCAGCTGGCCAACCTTGCATTTTACAGGTTGGAAAAAACTGGAACCACTCCTCGGCTCTCTCCACAAAGCTCTGCTGTGTAGGACAGAGTGTCTTATTCGGCCAGGGCAAAAAAAGGGAAGCCAGTATAATCGGCTAGGAGGAGGCAGAGATGTGTGTCCCGGGCTACCTGGGACAGGCTTGGAGGACAGCAGATGTTCCGATCCATCATTGTAGGGGAAGGCAATGGGTGGTTCTGGTGAGAGAAGAGCCAGGTCCCTGGAACTGGCATTCCCCGACTCTGTCTAGTGGATGAAGTCAACCCTTCTGTAGGGATCATAGAAGTTGTACGGTAAAGTTTCATAGAGTTGGACAATTACAGAGTGGAGAAGGACTTCTGAGACCAAGGTTTTTGATCATGGCATCTGTCCTTCAGGCAAAAGCTTCAATAACACCGCGGTGTATGCTTCAGGTGGAAAAGGAGCTGCTGTGTGTGTTGGGCAGGGTGATGTGGGCCTGGCAGAGCCTCCGCCCCCAGCCCCACCACCCCTGAGACATGACCAGGGAAGTCCTAAGATCACCCGGAGTACTGTGTCAAAACCACTGGTCCAGGACAACAGCAACACAAGGTTGTTTTCCCTGATTGTCATACAGCCCCAAACGTGGTCCCAACTCAGGGCTTGCTGGTCCTGCTGCCCAGAATACTCTTTCCCTTGGCTGGCTCCTTCTAGTACATTCAGATCTCAGCTCAGATGTTACTGTCTCAGGGAGACCTTCCCTTCACCCTCTGTAGAGGAACCCTCCTTTCAATTTGTCTTTATCATTTGCTTTATTTCTTCCATAGCCCTGCTCACTATTTGAAGTTACATTGTTTGATTACTTATCCAATCTAATCAATCTCAGAACAGAAATGCCATTAGAGCAGGACCTCCTCTGTTTTTTCCACTGCTATATCCCTAGTGCCCAGGGCAATGCTTGGTACACAGTAGTTGCTCAGAAAATAAGTGTAAGTGGTTGACTTAAGGAAACCATGAGTTAGAGGGGATCCCCTGACTCAGAACCTCAACCCAGGTCTTCTGACCCTGGGGTGTATTTTTTTTTTTTTTAAGATTTTATTTATTTATTTGAGAGAAAGAGAGAGTGCATGAGCGCACAAGCAGGGTGAGGGGCCGAGGGAGAGGGAGAAGCAGATTCCCCACTGAGCCGGGAGCCTGATGCAGGGCTCCAGCTTGCTCCACAATCCCAAGATCATGACCTGGGCCGAAGTCAGCCGCTTAACTGACTGAACCACCCAGGCACCCCCCTGGGGCGTATTTTCTTTTTACTTCCTCTAGTTCTTGTCTCCATTGGATCCTTAGTAGCTAAGGAAACAGTATTGCTCATTTTCAGTCTCTGAAGTACAAGTTTCTTGTGCGCCATGAGTTAAACAATCCTGAGCTATGGGCTAAGGACTCTACATTTGAAAGAACGGTTCAGAAAGAAAGAGGTAGGCGGAACCTAAGGAGGAGACAATTACTGGCCAGGCCTTGATAAATGTCTCTATTTCTGGCAGGTAACTGAAGTGTTAGGGTGCCCTTCTCTTTGCTAGAGTTATGCTCTCTTCTCCTATTACACTCTTTTATTCTGGTATCTTATTCCCACCTTCCTTTGGTCATTTATTTCTTTGGTTGGCCAGAAGGTCATCCATGAGTTTCCACATCTTCCTGTCCAGCTCTCTGGATCCGATTAGGTCTTGGACCCTTTTCGGGAACAGTCACTTCGATCTTCTGGGAAGAAGGCACGTGAGGATTAAGGAGAGGCGGCAGCACCTGTCCCCTAGTAGTATGATTTTACCCTCTCCTCACGTGGCAACTACCACAGGAAATCCAGAGGGAACACATATATAAAGACCCTAGAATATTATGTACAGAGTAAATACTAGTCCCTCTGTTTCTGAGAAATGTTTTCCAGGGATGGTAAAGATATATTGACTGTAGCTAAGCCATTTCATTAACAGATATTTAGTGACCAATGACTCTATTTCCCTCTGTGCTGGCTAGGTATGGAAAAGTGTTCTTATATTTTATGAGGTCATTATGGTGGGTTGAATTCTGCATGAGCTAAATAGTGTTACTCTCTTTTAAAGCCCCGAGACTAATTCTTAAACTTGCAAATGTATTATTTATCCCAGGAAAGACAGCTAGAAAGTATGTGAATGATTTACTGTTTTCCACCCTGAACACCTCAAAACCCAAGTCAAAATAATGATGGCACAGTATTTAAACAGGGGCAACTCTCTTTACCGTATAAATATCGATCTCCCTCTTATAATCCTGATCTTGGAGACTTCATTTATGTTTAGTATATAGATTAATTCCTATTCCTCACTATCCCATTACCAAAACAAACCAAACCAAAGGGAGAACAAATATTTATTGAGCTTCAACACTGTACGAAGCACCCAATAAACTATGATACCTGACCTTTGAAAGCTTATAATTAAGTGGAAGAAATATACACAACTTTAATAGAGAGAAACTGTTCAGATAAAACAGTATTTCCCAAAAATGTGGTACAATACCACCAACGGGGACTACCACTGGCTGAGAATTTTTTATTGGAATGGCCAGCTTTATAGTTTTAGTGAGTATTACAAAAAAGGTAACGAATCCATCAAACCTGTGATTTCAAAATTTTTATTGCTCAGGTTGAGGCTAAAATAAGTGGCATGATAGGTTTTAAGACATTATTCAGACCTTGTGAATGTCATGGGCACACTCTGAACGTTTTAATAATTGTATCTGCCTTAACTATTCAGAAGTGTCACTGGCCTGGATGATATGAATCCCAGGTGTGTGTGTGTGTGTGTGTGTGTGTGTACAACTGACATTTGGGAAACTCTAATCTAAAAAAAAAACAAAACAGCAGTTGAACCCTTTGTAATCAGTGTTGGAGGTGTTTCCGAGGTCCAAACCTGTGAGACTGGGATGGCTTCCTCTCCTTCCTCACCCTGAGGCTGTGGCCTCCAAACTTCTGCCCTTTCTCTACCCTGAGTGGCAGCCCTGCCAGGGGGCTAAGGTGGCTCCTCTTCTAGGCTCTATACTTGACTAGCTTTCCATCTTTCCCCCACTCCCAGAGTCTGGATGTATAAAGGGTGGAAGACAATTGCTTTCTTCCCCTTCAACCAGTGTTGCAACCCCACCCCAAAGTATGGAGTTCAAGCCACTCTCCTTGCTCCTTCCCAAAATGGAGCTCTTCTTCTGCTGACAGATTTACCTAAGTAGATGCAGTCCGCTGGCCCCTTTCTTGCTGGATATTGAGGGTCACATGAAGATGGTCAAAGATGGCCCCTTAGGAGGGGAACAAAGACTTGTACACACTGAATGCAAATTCAAGGTAGAAAGGGTTAAGTACAGCAAGAGACAGAATGCAATGGGAGTGGAGGTAAAAATTACTTATGAGTAGAAGGAGGGTGATAGAAAAAGTACTCTGGAGGTATTTCCAAATGGAAATTCCAGAAAACAGTTCGGTAGTGTATATCAAGAGACTTAAAAACGACCCAGAATGGGGCACCTGGCTGGCTCAGTCGGTGGAGCATGTGACTCTTGATCTCAGGGTTATGAGTTCGAGCCCCCATCGGGTGTAGAGATTACTTAAAAAAATACAATCTTTAAAAAAGAAAAATGACCCAGTAATCCCACTTCTAGAATGGGCCTAATAATAAGACATGTGTTCAGATATATAAGGATGTTCACTGAAATATTGTTTATAGCAAAAAGGAGTGTCTAACAATGAGGGAATGATTAAATAAATTTTGGTACATCTGTAAGTGGATATCATGAAATAATTTTTTCCAGTGTTTGGCAATAATATTTAAAGGAATACCAAAATGTTAATCATATGTAAATCAAAAAAGTAGGATACAGAAGTATATAAACCTTTTATCCCAATTTCCTTTAAAAATCACACAGAGTAAATAATGGTCAGGAAAACTAGTTACAAGAAATACACCAAAATGTTAATACTGGTTATTTTTGGGTTATGAATGACTTACTTTCTTCTTTTACTTTACTTTTATTTTTACTTTTTATTTCCTTTACACATTTGCACCAATGCATATATTTAGAATAGGAAAAAAAACCCTGTAGTTTAAAAAAGAAAATTAGAGAAGCAGGTGTGCCTATATGCAAATGAGTAAATCTGTGACTATGAGCAGATATATACACACATTTATATTTATTCCCGACTCTGATTACCATAGAAAATAAACAGCTGACTAGTCTTTTGTGTAAGTAGGCATCTCCTTGTAAGTGGCCATCCCTCTTTTTAAAAGTTTTACATAGTATCTCCACTCTTGTTTTTTATGTCTCAGTATGCTTCAAGAACAGACTTTAGGAATGTGAAATCCAGGGACAAACCTGCAGACCACTGAGTTTCTATGCAGCCCCTTCAGAGGGACAACATCAGCTACAAGTAGGGGGTGAGGTGGTTGCATCCTGATTGAAGTAGATCTCATACCTGACAACTGCAGTAACTTGTCCTTCTATCACCTGAAGAAAAATATACAATCATGTGTATTCAGCAGAGACACAGAATCAAAGATAATAGCTAGCTAACTAG